AGCATATAAAATACTTAGAAAAATGCCTAGCACTCTATGAAGAAAATTTAAATACACCTGAAGGACATGTACAATGCACTTTGTTCATCCATGTTCTATGATTATTAAATTCTACGAGTTTATGCATTTAACATGATTGCAATAAATTTAAGTTAGCTTTTTACAAAAACTAATCTGATTTTAATTCATACAGAAAAGTAGTCAAGATAGCTGTGTTACTGGAATCTTACAAGTTTAACAAAACATCAAGACTATCCCACGTTTACCCATGCTGGTAGATTACGAGTTGAGTAATTTTTAAGTAGAATAACTTCTTAAGACCTAACTTAGCAGTACATGTTAGTACATAAAATCCCTTTATAACACATCACTCTTCAACTTCTTTGCCGTTTCTGTTGCAACCAAGCTTCCAGATTTGTTCAGTTTCTGCTTCCACTCCATTCTGAATACCAACAGGTTATTGTTCTTACCTATCTACATTATCAATATAGCATTTATTTCTTCACCTCAGGTCTCCAGCTACTTTTCTCTTAGGATTAAAAAAAAAAATCTAAGGATTGGGTCTCTAGATGAACAAAACACTTCAAACACATGACTGTGGTACCTCAGTACTCCTCGTTAATTCATTCTGGAATTCGTGATGAGTGCCAAAGCTGGCCAGTACTGAGCAAGTGGTGAAACATCCTCTTGCAGGGCAGCATCGTGACTCACAAAAGTTCTAGCAAGTGCCGAGTGCTGAAACATTTTCTTGTCAAAATGCGACAAGTACAGGGTTTGATGAACTCTGAGGCCGACAAGTACCGAGGTATGACTGTGTATCTTTCATATCCCAAAGAAATGCAGGTCTGTGTAGATGATAGGTCATGAAAAAAGAAATTAACCTGACATCTTCCCTTAGTATTATATACTACTATCATATTCATTTTTCTTCAACAACTTCTACTTCACCATTTTTATATCTTTTCCTGGAAACTGGTAACGTGCAAATATCTGCCCTTGTTTTCTAACCTCACCCAAATGTGTCAAGTTCCTTCCCAGTAGGAAAATATCATAAAACATTAGAATTCCAGAGATTTATACCACAGGAGTGTGATGAGGTTAAGAATTATTATTCACTGCTAGCAAAAACAAGTATTAAATAAGGACTAAGAACAAGAATAAAGAACTACTTTTAAAAGGTCCCAACTGCACCTCTAATTTTAATAAGATGCCCTATGTACACATTTATTTGCTATTAAAAATTGAAATAGCATATGAAAACATTTGTTACAACCCAAAGTTTTGAAAACCAGAGAATTTAATTATTACACCCTGCATGTTTGAGCCAAACCACCCAACGTTTTTTTCTGTTACATTCCTTCTGCACGTTACTTGCTTCAGATCCTTGATGTTGGGTTTCATCTTACCAACTTAAGGCTTCCAAAACACAATGGTAACACAGATCTATTAGTGCTTTCTTGGGTGAAGTAAAAAAGGAACTTACGTGTACTGAAGTCATTCAAATGCAAACTACATAGATTCTCCTGTAAGTTACAGGCATTAATGTAGACAAGTAGACAAGAAACAGATACAAGAAAGACATCACAGAACTTCTATCATAGGTTATCAAAATATTGGTCTACAGTCTATCCTAGCATAAGCGTAGCTTTCCTAAGCTGCTGCATAATAGCTTTAAAATTACAAGCAAGAAAAAAAAGTACAATAAGTTTTATGGCTAAACTGACTCCATGTCATAATTATTCTCCATGGTAATATTATCAGAAGGGTCTCCATGATATAGGCGGTAACGACAGCTACACCTAAATCTTCTGGATCTTGGATCTTGATTCAATCCCAAATTTCCTCTCCTGTGGGTCTTTTTGAAGCAGAGACAGGGTATGGTATCTAATAACTTGTAACATCCTTTGCATCCTTTCTCTCCGAGCAGCCGCCAATGTCCTCACTCCGCGCCTCCTACTGTAGAGTAGGCCTTGACTCAGCCCCAGTCCTAGCCCCTGTAAGCTTTTTTCTTTGTCCTGCTGTTTGGGTGAACTTTCTAGTACAAGGGGAGGGAATTTGGTACTAGGGTTGAGAGTCAATTTCCCAAGGTCCTTTGCTAGTACTTCTGAGACAGCTTGAGTGTTAGCTGAATATTCTTCACCCGGCATCTGAGAAGACTCCAGGGTCCCGGTTGGGTTAAGCTTCTTTGGTGAGTCCACTGGATTGTGTAGTCACAGCCTGAAACTCCTCCTTGATCTCCCCAAAAGGTTCAGTAGAAGATGATACCTGAAACTCTCAAATTGCTACAAAGTAACCCAGAAAGAACCGTAAAGCCCAGGAAAGGCAAGAAAAATGCCAAATTCCAACAAAACGTGAAAGAGCTAACCTCGAAAGTTCTTTCCTATAGTAGAATGCCAACTACTAAATATCGAAGAGTTAGAAAGTCACACTTTTAAAATCCTCATAATAATAATTCATTCAGGCAATAGTCAATTTTAAAGCAGAGGGTTTGTTTAGAAACAAATATTTACATGGTCTCAAACTATCCCTTCATAAATTTATCCATTACAAACAAAAATAACAGGGCAGAAACCTGGTGGGTGCCATTTTAACCAAGTGATTTAAGTTGCTACCATTACTAACGACACACACCAACATTATAGATTGCCTGATTGGACACACTAGGAAGAGCATAGCATCATTTATGTAGTGCTTCTGAAATAATGCATAACCTGAATTAAATCATGATGAAATAGCAAGGAAAACCAAAGGGTTATCTATAAAACAAACCATCTGTCTTCTCCAAAAATCTCATTATCATTAAAGAAAAAACCTCTCAGAAATCGTTCCAGATTAATGTTGACTAAAGAGATAGGAAAACTAAATGCAATGTGTGGTCCTGCTATGAACCATGGATCAAGAAGAGAAATTGATGTACAGGCTATTATTGAAACAACTGAAATTTGAATCATCTTAGATTAGGTGATACTATATATGAATCATAAATTTCCCAATTTTGATCGTTGTTCTGTTTCTATTAATGGATGGCCTTATAGTTTAGGATAACGGTAACGGGAATGTTATATGCAATTTTCTAATAGATGATTCAGGAGAAAAAGATTATAGATATATATGTGCAGAGAGATGGACAAGGGCTATGCGAAGAGAATAAAACAAATGTGCCATAACAACTGGTGAAACTCAGTGCAGGGTATACGTGCGTACTATGTACTATTATTGCAACTTTCCTATAAATCTGAAATTTTTTCAAAGTGAAATATTTTTAAAAAGAGTATGAAAGATTTCCCATTAAAAGTGTGCCATGTTCATGTTTCTGGAGAGAGTCCCAGCTTTCATCAGATTCTAACTTGTGAACACTCCCTTCAAAAGGTCAAGAACATCTCTTTTCCATTATTACTTATATTTCTATATTTAGTCATATTCCCTCTTTCTTCTAACTAGGGTTTAAATTCAAATAGCCATGATAAAGATCTTATATTAAGCAGGACAAGAAGCCTTCCTACTAGTTTGAGTATCAAGAGAACAAAAAAAAGGTTTTGAATAAAGCTGTAAAACCTAAATACGGATTTAAAAAAAAAACAACTTGCTCCATTATCAATGAATGGCATTCTTTCTTGCTTTTAAAACCCAATAGTTACCCCAAAACATTCTCATTCATTTTATGATAATTTATTCATTCATTCTGGAATTATATAGCAATTATAAACAAAACCTGCACACTGCTAGAAGGAAAGAAAGCTGAAAAAAATCAATTGACTCTTTTCATTGAAATTAAAATATATTTTATTACATTAAAAAGTAAGGTTTATTCATTCTGGCTGAGATAAATGAATATGGCTGTGGGTGAGAAGTAAATTTAAAATAAGAAAATGTCACATATTCAATTTCACAAGAAAATGAATTACAATTCAGCCTTACTTTTATTTTTATGTAGCTTAAGTTTACATGACACATATCATACATAATACATATATACATCCTTGTTATACAAAAATATATTTTTAAAGCCCCAGTGGAGAGGAAAATATTGTATTTGATCACTGGTAATATTCTGTTTAAATACTTCTAAAATTCCTATTTCAAGGAAACAACAAATCAAAAGCCATTAATTTTTCAGAAAGCTTTATGTTCGTATAAATTCATCATTCAAGTATATTTTTATTGAAACAATAAGCCATCTGACTTGTTGCAAAGTCAAACTGAATAAACCATGATATGAAGCAAAAGCAGAGCTTTCTTAACTCTTCTTTCATCAGCCTAGAATCAGCTTCTGGCATTAAACGCAGAGCATGACAGTGACTTTTAACCTTACAGTGATTTTTAACTTTATACTATTAATGCTATATTATAGGGCTGACAATTCACAACACACATAACAGTTTGTTTACAGTTTGTTAAAAATAATAATTGGAAATTTTACTTTTCCTAATTTATTTTTTATTCAATTTGAAAAACAGTACATCTTTCTCATTGTGCTTGGCAACTTCACGTCATACCTGAAGAAATAATTTAAACATCCTGTGGACAAAATATACACATAAACTTCTGAAAGATCTTGTTATTATTTAATTCAGTTATAATTTCAATTCTACTGTGATTTCAATCACAGTAAATATAAAGAATTTAAGACAATATTCCTCACCATAGTATTAACATGTTTTTTAAAAAGTGAATTGTTGAGGCACAAAAACATTATGTGACTTGCCCAAGGTCATGAAAGGAATGAAAGATAGATAAAAAAGCATTTTTTTCCTAACTTAAGCATCTGTAATAACCCTAGATTATACCATCTTGCAAAATTAGCTCACTGCAATAAATACAGAAACTAGACACAGTATTTAGAAATGCCTGTTTAACCTAAATTGCTATTATTAATAAACTTAACTCTAATAATCTATACATTTATCATACAGTATTAGAATTTATAAAAGGAACCATGATAATTTTCTGAATTATTAAGCATGTAATGACTTATTGTTTAAATTTGACATGACCGAATAAAACAAAATTTACCATACAATTTTAAACGAGTTCAGCAAAGGATGCTTACTAACACGATTTTTATGAAAATACATGATTATAGAACATACAAAATTTAGACGACAATACTATAGACACAAACATATTAATATAAATGTATTAAGTCATCTTCTAGTGGATCTTTTGATTTTTATGAAAACGTTCTAACAAAGCACTCATAATGTTCCCCGGTATTCTCTGGTGCTTATCAATCAAAGCTTGAACAGCATTCTTTGTCTATTAAGAAAATAAAAGAAAAGCCATTATTCTTTTAGTTCTCAATATAGATCATTTATTTTGTAAAGATTTTAATGTACTATTACTTTCAAGAAGTTTTGCCTAATTTAGCACCCATTGCTCATCAGAATTAATGGTTTCCTTCTCAGTACACCCATAGTATATTTCTTATACTTTTTTTATTATGCTTGAATTACAGTATTGTCCACTTGGATATCTTCTACACCAGAGATACATCCTAGCATTGCTAAAGCATTGAATACAGCACTGCCTTGCACACAATAAACATATTTTAAAAGAAGTGAAGGAAAAACCTCAGAACAAAAAAAGTAGTAGGAAATTTTCTAATAGACAAATGGTGTTTCGCTCCTTTCCATCTATTAATAAACTATTGTACATTTTTCTTTCATCACCAAAGACACCAAAAACTTATATCAGGCAATGAAAAAGGAAAAAGTGAGGCAAACTATAAACGAATGAGCTGATTTACTTTAGCTTATTACCTAAATTTCTAGGGAGTTTAACAAGAATTTAAATTGTCATAACAATAGAGAAGTCAATAAGGATATTTCAAGAAATCTAAACTGTTTGTTTCCCATTCGATTAAATTTCAACAATTTTTACTTTGAAATCAGTTGTGGCTGTCCAAAAAAAAAGTTTATGCACATATATCGTGCATACATGCACACACATACAGGCTTCCTTTTAGATGCTAACCTTTCAATGTGCCTTCTTTTTAAAATCTTGGGAATTCCTCTTTTTAAATATAAGTAATAAACCCTAGTCCAAAGATGTATCTTAAAAATATGCCTCTCTAAACTACAAATTTTCATTACTGTGAAATGGAACTATTTTATACAGTTATTATAAGAGTTAAGTGAAATTGAAATTATGTCTCCAGGTACTTGGCAGAGTGACTAACATATAGGTTGTGTTCTCTGAGCATATTTTTAAAATTTTATTCACTTATTTAAAAAACTATTAGGGGCTTTGGAAGCTATAACATCAGTGAAACAAATCTCAATTTCAAGGCATTCATACTACAAAGTATTTAAAATGTAAGATGATTTGTGACATGTATCATCTGAGATGTGAAAAGAAAATGTGTGGGAGTTCAGGCTTGTGAGCCTATTTGGTGGGCAACAACCAGGGAAGAATGCATGAACAAGGTTTGGTCTGAGTCTCCAACGACCAGTAAAATTTCAGTAACAGTGAATGAAAAGCACGAGAAAAAAGACCACAGGAAAACAACTGTAGAAGGAATGGCAAGTTAGTGAATTTGGCTAGAGTTTCAGGTATGTTTTCATAAACTGGATGGTATATGGCTTTAAAATTAGTGTTCTACTAAATAATGAAGGGAGTTAACTATCAAGTGAAAAAGTACATATGTTTAGTATGAACTGAGGGGTCAAGAAATGATTTGGGGATGAAGAAATATAAGGGCTATGTATTAAGAAAATTCAACTGTTACAAAGAACACCAATAATCCCCTTGTGTCACTAAATCCAATAAACTTTCTTTTAATCTCACCTGACCTGTCAATCATCCTTAATGTTGCTTCTGTAACTATTGATATACATCTTAGAGGAAAAGATACTTTCATCTAGTGTTAGGGTTGCTCACTTTCAATCTCCTTTTGTAGATTTATAACCCCAAAATCAGGCACAGATTTATTCTTCAAAGGTTCAGTAATCTTATCCATTTTCGCAGCTTTAATTACCATCCATTTGCTAATGACTTCCAAATTTTTATCTCCAGACCACTCAGTTTCAAATAGAAATGTAGAATATAACTTCCCTTGATTGTTTAAAGGCACCTCAAACTCAATCTACTTAAGACTAAACTAACATTCCCCCTCACACTTCGTCCTTTCTTGAGTTCCCTCGCTATTATAGCAAAAGACACTAGCATAAATCTAGCCAGGTAAGCCAAAGCCCAGGAGTCATCCTAGAAACTGTTTCTTACTTAAAATAGCCAATCCATCAGTAGCAACCATTAGTTATCGCCTCACCAATACCACTCAAATCTATCCACTTCTCCCCATCTTCTTTCTACCTTAATAATATATATATATAACATATGTACATGTAAATAAATCTGCACTTAATTCATATGAGGATATGAGTATGAGAATGTAGACAGAAAGGCACAGAGAAACAGGCATTGCAAACATGGACAAAACAATAGAGAGATTAAGACTGAGAGAACTTTAAAAAATATCCCAAGTGTCCCGTTCAGCATTAGTACAGTATATTTTAATTTAGATGTAATGTTTACAAAATGGTTCTCCACAATCAAATGCCTGAAGCGTCTATTACCCATTTTTAAAATGAGGTTCATTTCTACATTAATTTGGATGCTAGTCATTTTGAATTTGTAATAATCCAAGGATCATTATGTTCTAGTTTATAATTATATTATTAACAATGAAGATTGAAAAATCATAACACTGTATTTACAAAAGGAAAATTTCAAGTATTCTTTATTTCAGGTACACTTTAGTTCAATAACGACAACTTAACAGTAAAAAATATGGAGAGAAAGAGAATTTTTCTCATATGAAAACCTCACATGAAATAATCAAGTCACTGGAATTCAACTCTCAGTAATATATTTTCCTTAACTGAGAAAAGAAAAGGAATAGAATTCGTTTAATTTTAAACCTGGAAGAAACCTTTGAAATAAGGTCAGGATTTTTCCCCTGCTCTCTCCATCACGTTCTATTTTGATCATTAAAGGAAAAAAAAAGACAATATCTGTAAAGTGTTTCTAACTAGCTCTGACCCACTTAAATCCTAATAGATAGGCAGGAAAAAAAATTAAAAAGAACAAAACAGAATTCAGTTATATCCTAAAGGAGAATGCATTGGTTAGAGGACAGCAAAGAATGTGTTATATTAACAATAAAGAAGCGACATCACAGGGTGAGGTCTCAGCCTGGTGTAGGACTCCTGCGGCTGCTCCAGGAAGGCATCGCTTCAGGATGAGAGAAGAGTCATGCTTTGCAGAGAGCATGTCCTTATCCTAAAAATCAGTGTCATAGAGTTTTACTTTTAACATAAAAAAGAACAATAAACTGAGTATACCTAATGAACAAGTAGAATTACTGGAGGTAAGTTTTCTAAGAATAGACAAATTCATAGACAAGGCCCAAGATTTATCATTAACCTTACCTTAGTGAAACTTCCTATATATTCGCTACTTGATTTGAATAGTCTCATTTAATATAATATTATAGCTGGTTCAGCTACTCATCCTTTTCTAAGTGTCTGACCTTGCTGAGTCAGACTATAACACACTCATTCATTCCCTTCACCTCTTCTGGGTCTTTTCTGTGGAAGGGGCCCAGGTCCGCTCCACTAGAGTCCAGTGTGGCTGTATGACTGCTTTGGCCAATAATGTGTCAGAGACAGTGAGTGAGTCGCTTCCAAACAGAAGCTCTGAGCGCCATCTCATGGTTCCATGACTGACCTTTTCCATCTGCCACACAAATGGGAACATCCCACACATGGTTCTTTCAGCCTGAACCCTAGATAAAGAAGACATGGACCTCAGGGGAAACAACATGAATGAAAAGTATGCTTTACTGTCCTAACCTTCTGACATTCTATGGCTGTTTGTATTCCAGCATAACCTAGCAAAGCTGACTAAAACATCCAGTTTTCTCATGTGTAAACAATGATAATAAGGCCTACCCTATAAGGCTGAAGTGAGGTTATATCAGATTATACATGGGAAAGAAGAAATGAGACTGTCTTTGTTCAAAGATTGTATGATTTTGTAAGTAGAAATTCTAAAGATTTCACAAAGAACTGTTAGAACTAATAAATGAATTCAGCAAAGTTGTAGGACACAAAATCAACACACAAAAATCAGTTGTGTTTCTATACACTAGTGATGAACAATCTGAAAAAGAAAATGAAAAAACAACCCCATCAAATAGAATAAAATACTTAGGAATAAACCAAGGAAAAGAAAATCTTATACACTGAAAGCTATAAAAAAAATTACTGAAAGAACTTAATTAAGACAAAAATAAATGGAAAGATATCCTGTATTCATGGATTTGGAAGATTTAATATTGAATATTGTTAAGATGACCATACTATCCAAAGAAATCTACTCTACACATTCAAGGCAATCCCTATCAAAATCCCAACAGCACTTTTGTACAAATAGAAATCTTAAAATTCCTAAGAAATTTCAAAAGACACTGAATAGCTAAAATGATCTTGAATTGAAAAAAGAAAAAGTTACAGGCCTCACACTTCTTGATTTCAAAACCTACTACAAAGCTACACTCCTCAAAGCTGGCATGAAGACAGACATATGGACTAATGGAACAAAATAGCACAGAAATAAACCTTTGCATGTATGATAAATGATCTTTGACAAGGGTGCCAAGACCACATAATGAAGAAAGGACAGTCTTCAATAATTGGTGGTGGAAAATTTGTATATCCACATGAAAAAAAGAAGTTGGACCTCATCTGACATACAAAAGTTAACTCAAAATGCATTAAAAACCTAAACATAGACCTAAAACTAAAAGATCTGTACTCAGAAAACTATAGAACACTGAAGAAACTGTATGGAAGAATTAACATCAGTAAAATGTCCATGCTACCCAAAGCAATCTATAGATTCAATGCAACTTCTATTAAAATACCAATGGCATATTTCACAGATTTAGAATATTCCAAAAACTTATATGGAATGTAAAAAGACCCAGATAGCCTCAACAATCCTGAGGAAGAAGAACAAAGATGGAGGGATCACAATACCTGATATTAAATTATACTACAAGGCCACTGTAATCAGGACAGTCTGGTACTGGCAAAGGACAGACACACAGATCAATGGAACAGAACAGAGAGCCCAGAAATAAACCCATGTCCCTACAGTCAATTAATATTTGACAAAGAGGGCATGAACATACAATGCAGAAAAACAATCTCTTTGATATATGGTATTGGGAGAACTGGACTGGTACATGCAAA